GGGGCCGAGCCGCCGCCCGCGGTCGCGAAGGGCCGCAAAGCCAAGCGCGGCCCCGGGGCGCCCCCGGCTCGCGCCCTCGGGCCCCCGGCCCCCGCCGCTCGGGTCCCCGCCGTGACCCTCTCCGTGACCTCGGTGGCCACCTCGCGGATCAGCCACACGGACAGCAGCTCCGATCTCTCCGACTGCGCCTCCGAACCCTTGTCCGATGAGCAGCGCCTGCTCCCCGCCGCCAGCAGCGACGCCGAGTCCGGCACCGGCTCCAGTGACCGGGAACCCCTGCGCGGGGCCCCCACGCCCAGCTCCGGACCCCGCGGGCCGCCGCCGGGCAGCCCCGAGCCCCCCGCGCTGCTCGCGGCGCCCCCTGTCGCCGGTGCCTGTCTCGGGGGCCGAAGCAGCCCGGGCAGGGGCCCCTCGGGGTCTCCCGGGCCCGGTTCTCAGGAGGATGTTGGGGGCCGGGCGCCACCGGAGCGGATGGTTCTCGGGACCGCCAAGGAGCCAGGCTTGGGCGAACAGCCCCGGCTCTTGGTGGTGGCCGAGGAGGAGGAGTTGCTGAGGGAGATGGAGGAGCTGCGCTCGGAGAACGACTACCTCAAGGTGAGCTTCCGCTGGGGGTGGCAGGTGTCTCGGAGGCGGAGCCTGGATCCTCTGGCTTCCCGGGGGTCCTGCGAGCTCATCTCCTAGGGCCTCGTTAACTCCTAGCCCCGTCTTCTTTGCACCTCCCTGCTACCCAAAGCCACTAGCTTCTGGTAACTAAACCCCAAACTTGGGGGAGGACCTTTAGGTTTGTTCTTTGGTTTTGTTTTGTTGCCTGGCTCTGCTGATGCCTTTGGGGTGGCTATAAATAGTTTTGAATACATCCATCCCTGCGCTGTCACCTGTTGAAGAGGCTTGTCTAGATGCCCAGCTGGGACCCTGCTTGTGTGTGATGTGATTTCCAGGTGTCAGACTTCCCCGCGCAGGTCCTCCTACGAGTTCAGAAAGAGCCGGGGTCCCTTTCAGTCTTCTCCAAGCCCTTGGGGCGTAGCAGAAGGGGGGCTGGTCCTTAGTGATAAACATAATTTAAATCCCAAAGAGGCCCCTTGAACTTTGCGGCCTGTGTTCAGGGACAGCAGCATTTTTATGAGCAGCCCTTTGTCAATGGCTGAGAGTAGGTTTTTCAAAGCCGGTGGTGTCAGGAAAGGACACAGCAGCTCTTTCGAAGGAACTGCGTCCTCCCACACTCTGAGCGTTACCCAATGGGGCCTGCTAGCTATGGTCTTATCTTCTTAGCACTGGGATGGATAATCAGATTCCACGTTCTCTACAGGGCTGGCCTGCAGAGCAGAATATTTAGACAGTGTTAGGGGCAAGTTAAAGAGAGTTGAGGTGATTTGATAAGAGAAAACAAAGGAGGGACAAGGAAAGTGACCTAATTTGTTGTAATCCTCAGGTTACTAAATAACTCCAGGAATGTCAATCTGTTCACACATCTGTCAAGATCTTGTTGAATGTCCTCCACAGTGCCAGGGTGCCCCATGCATCCTGGGTTATGTAATTTGAGCTGTTTGGTTAGCAGGTGGTGAACCTGCCTGAATGAGGCCCTGTCTTGGGACTGGGGTGGAGGAGGTTCAGGTTTTTAAGGATGGGTTGTGAGAAGTCGAGCCGGAATTAACACCTTGACTGTGGGTCCTCTGAACCCATGTCATTTATCAGAAGTTACTCTTGAGTCCAGTAGTTAGGTTATCTTATGCGAAGCAAGGCAGACAGAAGTGAGGGGGGCGCTTTGGGAGACTTCCAAAAATGCATGTGCTTTTTGTCCCTCGGCCTTATGTAATAGATAGCAGAGAGCATTTCAAAGGTGTGGACCTAAGCGGTGTGTGGCTCCCAGCAGGCATCACTCTGCAGATGCCTGGTGGTAGGAAAGGTCCAGCAGCAGCGAGAGACAGGCGGCCTTTGCAGCCCCAGCTGTAAGCTTCAGGCCTTTGCAGCCCCAGCTGTAAGCTTCACCGGCGGCCCACGGCCTACAGTAGTTCTGCTCGGATCAAGTCCAACTTGAGCCTGCTAAGAAAGAGCGTGTGTCCCTGCACCCTTGATCTCAGGGCAAACAACTTAGACGCCGTTTCTAAGTTAGTTCTTGGATGACTGCGGGCTTACCTTGCCTACGTACTTGATCGTAAACATACGATGAGCTCCCCGTGAACTCCCCAGCTGTCGGACACAGGACCTGGTATCGCGTCCCTGACATGTCATTGTCCCTTCGTAACACAGGAACTGGATTTTGCCCACATCCTCCGCGCCCCTTCCCACTAGGTGTAGGACACAGGGCCCAAGTGTGCTGAAAGTAGGATCTGTGCTACAGCCCCTCCACCTTTCAAACCTGCTGCCGTTATGTTTGTCACAACCCCAATTCCTCAGGCAGGATGCTCAGATCAGACACTTAAGGTCTTCCTCAGGGTTATGCTAACAAAATAAAAAAAAAAGTGGGGGGTCTTCTTGCTCTTTGGCCCCTCCTAGCCTGCATGCCAGGCTGCTCCCTGGTTGCTGTTCTGCGTGGTGTGTATCATTCACGGCCTCACAGCTCCTTTACTAGCTTTCCTAGAAGGACCTCTGTTTCCTTCTCATAATGAGTATCTCTCACTGGCCTGCGTTTGAAGGGACATAGAAATCCTGCCAGTAAGGTTTGACTTGCAAGAAGTATTCAGTTGCTTCTTCCCAGCCATCTGTTTGCTGAGTCTTGGGGTTCATCCTTCAGCCTTTCCCTGGACCGCAGCAGAGAGAACTGGTTAGAGGGTGTCTGAAGGCGAGCAGGAAGCCAGAGGAGTTGACTGTGTGTATGCCATGCGTACGCTGGGGGTCCTTCAGAAGCTTCTCTTGTACTAGTTCAACTTTCAAAAGAATAATAAGCCTAGTGGACTTGCCCACAGGTCAGTGAGCCCACCCACTTGCTTAGAAATTGGTTGGACTGTGTATCAGTGAACCCTGATGAAGTGTGGTCGTTTCTTTTTTGCACATGTTTGATGCAATGTTCATGTTTTAAACTTAATTTTGCCTTTTGCTTATTGATATTACACTGGGGTACCTCTGCCCCATCCCCTCAAGGTAGAGAAATATGTGCTTGTTGCACACAACTCCTGAGGTGACTGACTAGTGTTCTCCAGTAAGGCATTTGGTGCAGAGTAACATCTACACATTATTCCAGAGAGAGCACTGTTACCATTTTAGTGCAGAGCTTTCACAGCTGACCAGAGTGTCTGGAATAGGAAAATAAGGTTGACATTATTCTGGGAAGATGTCCCATTGGTAAAGAAATTCAGGGGGCATCTCTTGGACTAGTGTGCTTTCTGTCTTCTGACGCATGGAGCGTGCAGAATCATCCTTGACCCTATCGCTGTTCTTTCATCAAAAAGCACTGGGTAATTACATGAAAAAAAAAAAAAAAAAAGCCTTAGTCCCGGAGGCTTGCTTCTGCATGAAAATACAAGCAGAAATGCACTTGGGGTGTCCTTTGACATTTGATGAACTCACAGATAATATTCAGAAGTTAAGACAAGCATAGCTATCCAAGGCCTTTGGGTCTTTCCCAGACAAATCCAGGCAAGTTCCTGGATGGTGAGGACTCACTTCCACAACAAAACAAAACACTATCTTGGTTCCTCCCTGCCTGGAGTTCTGCTTGAGTGCTCTGGGACAATCAGACAAGCAGGGCTGCTCACTGCCAACATATTAATTACGCCCTCCATTTCTACGGGCTTTTCAGGAGGTTATCTCCGAGTTTTGAAAATGCTCCCAGCCGTCTTACTTTTCACTATGATGTGCTCACGGCATGGCCCTGGACAGCGGACACTCCGTCCTGATGTCCTACATGGTGGCCAAGTTAGGCTAGGAAGGGCTGTTTCTTTCTGCTCTGCTTTCTTTCTCACTGTTATTTTCTTAGAATCGTTTTTACTTAAATGAGGGCAGATGACTGTCTTCTTGGGAGGATTGATTTCTTAAGAGAGACCATTAAGGTTTTAGGTGTTTGGGAATTGAAGCCCTGTCATGTGTGACTCTGCACTGGGGACCACCCCCAACCCCTGAGGTTTAGGGGAGCTTTTTAGTTTCAGTCTGACATGGTTTGTTCTATTTGGCTGGCTGGATGCCAGGTGCTCAGCATGGCCTCAGGGTGGGGTGGTGCGCGTGGGCAAGACCCATCATCATCTTAGTCCTTGGAGGGTCAACTCCTCCTTCCTTTCCCTCCACTCCCCTCCCATTCCCTTTTTTTTGTGGGGGGCTGTTAACATGGATAGCATTCTTTATTCTTTCCCCACATTCTGCTTCCCATAGGCATTCTTTTTCAGCCGTGAAAGCATCAGTATGCTAATCTTAGGTGGCAAGACTTTGTGGTCCAGGACAGTAGCCACCCAGCTGCCGGCTGGACTGTCACTTGGTAAACAATAGTGGCAGTCCCTGGGCCTGCTCGGTTACAGCTGGTCCTCTGCACAAAACATTTCCATTGTCCCAAAGGAAATGAGGCGGATTATTCCTATATGACAAAAGACAGCAGTTTCTGCTTTAAACTCCCCGAAGAGGAGACTATTGCAACAGTAACCAAAGGACTGTTTGTGTTCCCACAGGGTCTGTTTACAAGGAGTTACTAACGCAGAAATACTTACTGGTCCGAGCTTTTAAGTTCACATACAAAGTGATGGGTGGATTTCATTATGGCATTTTCACACACATATGCCGTTCATCTTTGGTTTAGAGAGAGATGGAGATTTGAATATAATTGTTAGTATGACCTAGAGTTTTGGTTAATTTTATCAAGAAATCCTGGATTTGGTACAACTTATGGATAAATTGTTTTAGTCACCTACATTCATGGCACCCATAATTCTTCATATTTGAGGTCTGTTAAATTTGATGTCTGTTATCATTCCTGTGTACGAAAGGACTTAGGTTCCATTTCCAGTACCCAAATCAGGCAGCTCACCATAGCTTTTTAAGGATTCTATGCTTCTGTCCGGAAGGTAACTGCACACATGTGGGTCACATGAACTCATGCAGGCATATACACATAAATAAAGAATAATAGTAAATCTTTGTTTTGGCTTGGTTTTCTAGACAGGGGTTCTCTGTAGCTCTGGCTGTCTTGGAACTTGCTCTGTAGACCAGGCTGGCCTCGAACTTAGTGTTCCACCTGCTGCTGCCTCTCTGAGTGCTGGGATTAAAGGCTTGCACCACCACTGCCCAGCTGAGTAAATCTTAAAAAGAAAGTAATTTGTGCATGTGGAAGACATCAGAATTTTCTACGTTACTTACTATATCGAAATTATATTTGCTGACAACACTGCATGTTCTGCTTTGTTTGCTCTTCTTAAATATATATATATTTTGAAATGGCAGACACCTTTAAGGTTCTGGAACAAACTGTCTCCTGAAGTTTAGCATGTCCTCAGTAAGTTAATGTAAGGTAGTGTTGGTTTGAAAATCACAATCCACCATGACCCTAGTCCAAATAATAGTACTTTTTGTGTTTCAAGGCCCTGCTACCATCATCCGTGGTTAATAATTTGCCTTTGTGGTTAACTGACTTTCACTAGACCTGAAGATCACATTTTTCAAGGCCACAGAGAGAGTTGAAACACCGTCCTCAGTTTACCTTTGGAGCAGGCCTGCTAGGGCAGGAAGGCATTTGAACGTTCAGGCTTCCAGTGTTTGAAACATCTTCACCGGCTGCTGCAGTGTTTTCCTGAGTACCAGTTGCTCTCCTGGATGAGGATGTTTGCCATCCACTCTCAGGCTCTAACCACAGGGCAACTTTTTTTTTTTAGTTTTACATGGATCTTGGGCTTTTAAAAGCACAGTTGTAGGTTTGTTACTGTTCCGCCTGCCCTGCTTGTAACAGCTAATTTGTTGCATTTACTAGAAGCTTTGGTGTCTGGTAGCAGACAGCCATGTTTGCAGTCTAGTTTCCTTAGTAGGTTACAGGCCCTGGCCTCACTCTGGTTTTTTTGTATCTGAAAATGGAGGTTTATTTTAGGGTTGGCAAGCAGAGTAACATGCATAATATAGGATACCTTCCGTTTCAGAAATTTGTGTAAAATATGGGGTTATAGAAACAGTGACTGGAGTGAAGATAATTCTGGTCTTTTTCTAGTTTTCTTTTCAGTTCTACCAATAATGTTGCTGATTATTTGTGCCCAAAATAAAATTGTCTCTTTACACGTGGCCTGTTCAGTGATTGGGAGGTGTCCACACAGAAACCACCACTTTCATCCTAAAGGGAATAAGAACTCGTTTATTCCGGAGCCATTTTGAGTGATTATGGTCTAGGAGCACAGATGGAGGTTATCCCAAATTCCATGTTCCAAGGTGAAAGCAGCTTTACAGGGCTTTTATAGTTTGACCGAACGCTTAAGTCCTATGTCAAGGCAACTTTAAAATACATTGGTGGGTACACCAGAGAGACAGGCACAGTGAAATGGGGGAAGCGTTTCTGTAGGCCCGAGATGCTGAGCTCTTGGAGTGGTGGAAGCCAGTGTGCTGCTAAGTTAATAGCTTTTAGGCAGTTTTAATTTATTATTATGGGGTGTTAGTTTAGATCCAGATTGGGGCAAGGAATGGCTGTTCCAGAAGGCTAGCGCTAGCCCAAGTTAAAGTAATTAGCTTCTGAAGCTACAAAAAGTCTCTCTGCAGGTCCGAAATCCCAATCTGTCTATCAGTCTCTGCAACAGACTACTTCAAGCAGTTTTTTGTTCACAGCCAGATGCCACTTCTTTTCAGGAATTTTTGCTCGCAGAGGTGACGGCGCATCTAAAACAGTTTTTAGCTGGGAATGGTTATTTACTCATCTCTCCAGCATAGCCAGCAGTAGGGCAGGTGTGCGTCTCCTGACGTAATATGTGAAAACTAGGAAACATACTTGTGTTCGAGAACTGTGTCTTCCATCTTCTTATGGATACAGCTGTTTTAAAACCAGAACGGGTGATTCCAGCCATTAATGTCTTGTGTTTTTTTTTTTTTTTTTTTGTTTTGTTTTTGTTTGTTTCTTTGTTTTTGAGTATGGAACTCACTATGTAGACTGGAACTCACAGAGATCTACCTACCTCAGCCTCCTGAGTACTAGGATTAAGGGCATGCACCCTCACACTCAGCAGAATAGATATTTTATTTTTCTTTCTGCTTTTGTTTCTCTGTGTAGCCTTGGCTGTCCTGGCCTTGCTTTGTAAACCAGGCTGGCCTCAAACTCACAGTGATCTACCTGCCTCTGTCTCCCTGAGTGCTGGGATTATAGGCATGTGTGAGTGTTGTTATTTATATTAAAATGATACTATATACACAGCTGATCTTATATGAAAGTTTATTTAGGGGAAGAGAAGCATAAGAGAATTTAACAGGCCTGAGTAAGCCTGTTAAAGCAGAGACAGAGAAAGGGAAGAGAGACTGAAACAGCAAGGGAAGGAGGAAGGGAGCGGGGAGGAAGGGAAGGTGGAAGGGAGAGAGAAGTGGGGGAGGCAGGTCACTTTATCCTGGGCCCCCGGCAGTGGCGACTAATGATGACGTCACGGGTGCCTAAGCAATTTGGGAGGAGGCTAGTACATCAAGATTTGTGAGGTTTTTATTTGACCATTAGAAAGTGGGTAAAGGTTGCTCTCCATATGTGGGTACTTGTGTCTAGTGCTTGTTTGTGTTCAGGCAGGGATATATTTGTGCATGTGCCTGTAGATGCCAGAGGCTGACAATCCGTTTTTACTTTATTCTTTTTCACATAGTCTTTTATTGAACTCGGAACTCACCAATTTGGTTAGATTGGCTGGCCAGCGGAGCACAGGGATCCTGTTGATCAGGATCTTGGACAGTTAGGAGGAGGCTGCAAGCTGGGATTAGGGGGATGGGCTCCCTTGTCTCTTTTCTCAGACTATGTAGCAGAGTTGGGCAGTCTTCCTCCAAGTGTATCCCCGAGTCCTCACATGTTTTCTTCATCTTTATCCACGATGATATCATTTTCAGGATATTTTCCTTTCAGGGTCTTGTCAAGCTGGGGTTCAGATGTTGGGAAATTTTTTCTCTGTTGTAATTAAATCCCCAGCTTTAAGAACAAATCAGGATTATGGAGGGTGGTAAGAGCCCCAAGAACGCTGGAACAAACTGAATAGCAGGGCAAAAGAGGGCTATTTAGGGTGTTCAAGTGTGGGTGAGTGAGCATTTCTTACTTTTCTTGAGCCTCAATATTAGTTGAACAACATAAATAGGAATAACTGAGTACTTATTCTGTAGGCATTTGAATCACCAGTTACTGAACAAATTATGAAAATTTCTAGAATGCGCTCCTTAATGTTCTTTCTAAATAGCTCTTTCTCGAAATAATTTGTGATACTTTATTAGGATATGTATATTCTATATTCTGCAGCTGCATTTACTGGTTTATGGGGTGGTTTCTTAACTAGACTGCAAGATTGGGGCAAAACAATGTTGCAATTAAGTTCGAGTTCCATTGTCTTGCTGATTTGGTCTTTTCTATGTGTTGATGATGTTCCTCTATATTCATTCCACAAATATTTTTGAGAGGCCCCTGTGTACCTTTTGCTTCTCTGGGTACAAAGAAGGGCCAGCTGACAAGGTTTCGGGTTTTTAAAGTTTAAGGGTAGGTTGAAAAACATACATATATACAAATAACACTAAATGGTGATAGAAGGTAGGGGAAGTGTGTGTGTGTGTGTGTGTGTGTGTGTGTGTGTGTGTGTGTGTGTGTCAGAGACAGAGACAGACACACAACCCGGGGCTGGTCAGGGAGTCCTTACCCGTACTTTACACTCTGTGGGAGGGAAGTAAAACAGGTGGGCCTACAGGCCCGGAGGAGCCCTGAGGATGGGTGGGCAGGGCTGTTGGGAGTGACTCTGAGAAAGAAGGCCCTAAGGGTCTTGGTAGTGGGTGGAGGCGTCTAATTTGCATTCTAAGCGGTAACTCTGCAGGTGGAGATAGACTAAGGAAGGATTTGGATGCCTGCCGGGAAGCCGTGAGCCCTGGAAGGATTTGTTTATTACTTGGGATTGAGGCCGAAACCTGAATTGGAATTGGGATTTGGGATCCTGGGAGGAGAGTCACCCACTGAGATGATAATGATGGCTTCCTAGAGTTGGGCTCTAGGGTGGGAGGGAAGCTGGGAGCCAGGGCGAGGCCTCAGTTAAGGACAGGGCTTTAGCTGCAATTCTAGAATCAAGCACTCCAAATTCCTTAGTTCCTTGGGCTAAGGCTGATTTTCTAGACAGCGAAAGACCGAAGAAAGCCGTAACAAAGAACAAAGAACAGACTTGGGTGTTTCGAAGTTGCTGTCCATGAGAGACAGGACCAAGGAGAGAGAACCATAGAAAAATAGCAGATTAGATATCAGGTTACCTCAGGTTACTCTCCTCCCAGGAAAGATTAAAGCTGAGGTGGGGCCTGGGAGTTTGTTTCAACAGCATTGAAACTGGCCTGTTGAGACATTTGGCTATCAGCTCTCCCTGATTTTTCAGAAGGTCACATAACAACACAGTTTTGTTTGGTGGCATGGGAAACTTAGTATGATTTCATTTTGGTATTCAGGCTGATCAGTGTTGGGGCCTAAGGCGGGAGCTGAGTGTGGAACAGTGGGCTCTATAATTTTACATAATGCTTTCTCATTGAGAGAAAGCTCATTTTTTTATTGTAAAAATGGGAGGTATGGGAAATGCGGGATAGGAGACGGGGAGACAAACTCTGTATTTGAAATAATGGGAAACATTTTAGCTCTAACATTTGTATCATGGATTCGAATTTTAGAGATGCTTGCAGGCAGGCTGTAATTCCAGGACAATCAACAGTTATTAGCCTACTAAAGTTTATGTCCAGTGAAGAGGAAGGTCTGTCGGGTTCATCTTAGTACTGAAATTGTGCCTTTGGCTTGAGTTTGAAGGCTTAATTGTTTCCTTTCTGGACATGTAAGGAAATAGAAGCTGTGAGGAGCCATGGTAACTGCTTCAGCTCAGGAGATTTAAACACTTGGTGACACTGTTGTGTCATGTGACAATTTCCAGCGGTTCCTTGCTGTTTAATCCTGTGTGACCACGGCATGTCTAGACCTTTGACATTTAGTGTCCTGGCTGGAGTTGGGTGGGGGTCTGGCTCACCTGAGGTGTCTGGATTCCTAGGACGAGCTGGATGAACTCCGTGCAGAGATGGAAGAGATGAGAGACAGCTATCTAGAAGAGGACGGCTACCAGCTGCAGGAGCTGCGGAGAGAGCTGGACCGAGCTAACAAGAATTGCAGAATCCTGCAGTACCGACTCAGGAAGGCTGAGCAGAAAAGCCTGAAGGTGGCGGAGACGGGGCAGGTGGACGGGGAACTCATCAGAAGCCTGGAGCAGGACTTGAAGGTGAGTGAGGTCACCCAGCCTCCCATGCCTAGGAGTCTGAGACGTTTACTTCCTGCTCTTGCAGGGGACCTGGTTTCGATTCCCAGCATTCACATGGTGGCTTAGAATCCACCTGTAACTCCATGTCCATGATATACGATGCCCTCTTCTGGTCTCAGTGGGCACCAGAAATGAACATGGTGTACAGATATATATGTAGGCAAAATACCTCTACGAAATAAAAATTACCTCTATAAAAAAATACCTCTATAAAATAAAAATTAATAGATCTCAAAGAGAGCAAGAAAGAATGAGAATCACCGGTTGAAGGGGAGTGCAGAGCTGTCATGACCTCATTGTCCAGTCATTTATCTAGATGTGGGTTACACAGAATGTCCTCCAGGCTGTGAGAGTGCGAAATCTCATCTGGCTTTCCGTGTAGCAGGAATAATCTTTGCAGTTCTCTCAGTTGTCAGCCATTAACAAAATTCATTCAGTGTAAGGAAGGGTGATTTATAGTTCTCTTACAGTCTTTCCTCATTCACTCTTAGACAGTAAAGGAGCTTTGGGGTGGAGGGAGGCTCAGCAGTTAAAAGCACCGGCTGCTCTTGCAGAAGACCTGGGTTCCATTCCACATGGTGGTTCACAACCATCCACAGCTTCAGTTCTAGGGCATCTGGCACTATCTCCTGGCCTCCATGAGCACTGCATGTAAAACACGCAGGCAAAACACTCATACACATAAAAATAAAAGAAATAAAGTTTAGAAGAGAAAGTAAAAGCATTTAATTGCCTTAAACATTGCAGTATTTTAAGCATACTGGAGCCACAGAAGACATCTTTAATAACTTGATTATGGACCGTTTACTCCATACAAAATTTTTATTTATTTATTTTTATTGATTCTAGGTTTAATATTGATTTGTTTGACGGGAAACATGTGAGAGCAAGGAGAATTAGCATTCTGATGATGCTGCATGAGGAAACAGCCCTATCCATGCTTTGTCATCATGAAAGCCATGTTCTCCTTCCTAATGTAGTTTCAGGTTTAAATTATTCATTGAGTATCCGTGCTGCGAATTTCTTTTTCTGTTTTTTCTTCTTCTCAGCTTTACACAAAAGAGACACCTCTGAGAAGAGGGACTCTCAGTTGAGAAAATGCTTCCCTAAGATGGGCCTGTAGGCAAGTCAGTAGGACATTTGACTGATGATTGATGTGGGCGAGCCCAGCCCGTTGTGGGCAGTGCCATCTCGGAGCATGTGGTCCTGGGTGGTATAAGAAAGCAGGCTGGCAACCCATGGGGAGCAAGGCCGTGAGCAGCACCCCTCCCTTTTCTTTCCTCCCCAGGTTGCTTTTAGTCACAGCAACAGAGACCCTAGCTAAGACAGTATTCTTTATTCAAAGTGTTCGGGCCTGAAAGTGGCTCAGAGTTTGCAGCACTTCAGATGTTGGATTCTTGGATCGTCTAGTACTCTCTTCTGTCGTGTACTTTCTGAGTTCTTGCTACGATGACTTAATGATTCTGCCTCTGAGGCTGTCTGACTATTCCCTTAGTGTTCCCCAGATGTCATATCCTGGTACGATCCCCGTGTGTCCACTGCAGGTCGCCAAAGACGTGTCTGTGAGATTGCACCACGAGCTGGAGACCGTGGAGGAGAAGCGCGCCAAGGCTGAAGATGACAACGACACGCTCCGGCAGCAGATGATCGAGGTGGAGATATCCAGACAGGCACTTCAGAACGAGCTGGAGAGACTCAGAGAGGTAACACGGAGATGCAGGCGCCGCTAGCAACTGGGGACTCCTCACACCTCACACCTTTTGTTTGTTTGGAAGACAAATAAACAAAAACAAGTCACATAAACACACAGAGGAGAAGAGGATTATGGAGCAAAGACTGTAGATGGTTTGCAAAGCCTGAACTGTTTGCTCACTGGCCTTTTACATAAAAGGCTTTGGAACTCTAGTCTAAATTCATTTCTTACCATTTGCATTCAAATGAGTAGGCCATCAACCCCTTCAGTATGCCCAAGTGCAGTGTATTATTGCTAGAATACAGAATTAAAGAGTAGCTCTCCCCACCCCCACCCCAATCTTTCCTTCTAATGAACTGGGAGGGTATTATGTTTGTTGATCAAAATCACATAAACACCTGAGTGTGATGGCTCATGCCTTTTATAGCCCCAGCACTTGGGAGGCTGAGGCAGGAAGATCTCTGAGTTCAAGGCCAGCCAGGTCTACATAGCCAGCCCCTAGCCACCCAAGGCTACAGAGTTAGACCTTGTCTGAAAACAACAGCAAAAAAGGCTCTCTGAAAATAGATATGTCACACACACACACACACACACACACACACACACACACCCCTATATATCATTCAGCCAGCATGAGTCAAACATAGATATCTATATAAAGATACTTTCCAAAGTTACAGAGTGATTATTCTAGCAAAGTAGTCTAGAAAAAAAGAAAACCATTTCATTTGCATATGCCAATGTAAAGTCCTGGCTTGACTTCCTTTTCGACTTTGTTATAACATTGAAGCTGAGTGTTTTCTTGGAAAACACCCTGTATCCCGATGATGTGAGAAGGCACCAGGGAAGGCTGGTTCAAGCTGGCATGTGACCTGCCAGATAGCCTCATGGAGTACCCCATGCCTTCTGGGTACATTTCTTGTCTCATTCGGGCCGCCCCCCCCCCCCCCCCCGGCCACATGTGGAGCGCCACACTTCGTTTGGGGCTGCAGGCGTGAATGTGCTCTGCAGTCCATCAGGGTGACCAAGGTTTGTGTAGCAGAACACAGATCGCTTCAAAGCCGAGATGCTGCCACCTTAGCTCATGGCCGTGGTGTCTCTGGAAGTGTTGTTCCTTACCTCTCCCTATGTTCCTCTGTAATGTGAGCTCCACTGAACAGGGGCAGGGGTTTGTCCAGTTCACTGTGGGATCCGTGTGCCTGCATGGATGCCTGACACATGCTGAGTGAGGAGCCAACACAGAGATGATGGTGCCGCGCCGTGGCAATCACAGCTTGCTGGGCCTAGGGATGCAGATGCTGCAAGGCTTCACTGTCCAGGAGGCCAGCTGTGAAAGCACGTTCATCTTGAGTAGAGCACGCCCCTTACCTGCTGCCTGGATTCATCCCCAGGCATGAGTCTAGTGATCAGTCTTCTGCCTCATTCACTGCCTCTGGTACCTTTTACTGTCTGCTTTTCCTTTGGTTTAAGTTCTCCAAAACTGCTCTGTTCTACAGGTCCAGCCCTATCAGTGTGTATAGAAAATAATTCAGGAGTATATTTTATAAAATTGATCTCAGTGGATGTGTTGGTGTTAATATTTAGCTATACATATTTTAGTTGCATACATGCACGTAACACATGTACACATGCATGCATGCATACATAGTGATACCAGGACGTTCCAGGAGCCCCACAGAAATTGTAGTCCACAGATGCTCAAGTCTCTTAGATAAAATGGTCTAGTATTTTGATAGAACTTGAGCACATCTTCATACTTTAAATCACTTTTACACTACTCATAATGTCTAATACAATATACTCACTATATAAACAGTTGTTATGTTATTTAGGGATTAATTATAAAAATCTAGTCTAGGTACTAAGATTTACAGCAGTTTGTGTGTGTGTGTGTGTAAGGGAAATGCTTTATGCCTCTGGTTGGTGGACTCTGCCAGTTTGTGGGTCACATGGATACAGAAGACGGGCTACATACATATTTTAAGCAAGGGAAGAGCCTGCATATGTTCAAATGGATTTGTGTTAAGACTTGGGATCCCTTGGGAGGAAGAAATGATTACTATTGCTTTTGACATTAAAAGAAAGGCTGGGAGAAACAGGGGTCATCTTGGAGCCCGGTGCTAGCTCAGGTGTGAAGAGTGAGGGGTGAAGTGGAGGGATCAGCCCCTCCCTTTGAATAAAATTGTCTCCCTCAGAGTTGCAGTCAGTCTGGTGGGATGGTATTTTTATACCAAACTGTTAAGGGATTGTATAACATACAGGAGTCTCCAGAGAGTTAGACACTGGCGGAGACGGCTGGACTCAGAGAGAGAGATGGAGCCAGGGCATGTAGGGTCCCAAGGTGGTTGAAGAGAGATCACTGGGAAATGCCAACTGTTGTCACTGTAGATGGATTACTTTCACAAAAGCTAAGAAATGCACAGTTGAGTTTGCCTCTGGTAAGTTGGTCCTTTGTTGTTTACCTCTGACATTTTGTAAATGGATGCACGGTGACCTGAAAATGCAAGGGCGTTTCCTGCTCCTCTGAATAACAGAGTCCTGAGTGGAGCCACCTGGCCTCAGAGGACCCGAGCAGCCCTGCTCTGCACAGTCCTTGAGAAAAGCTCCATGTTGTTTTTCATAGTTCAGGGCCCTGGTAGACACCACCACACCGTTCCCACACTATAAGCGTCCTTCTGCCTCCTAGCATCCTGCAGTTTCCGGGGCTTTTGGTGGCACAGTCTCCACCCCTCATCCCCATCTTCGGTGATTTGCCACCAGCTTTGGACACTGTTTTGCCTTTTCACTGATAACTGGTTTTGCAAAATCTTTGTAATTAGGTGAATTTGCAGTAGTTATGGGAAACTACTGGCAGCAGGGCCAGCTGTCTAAGGGTTTGGAATTGCCTTGGGTGTGTTTGGGAACCAGATAGAGGTGGTGATACCACACGTGAACTTACCAAATGCTCTTGGTTTATACACTTGAAATGGTTGATTTTATGCTGTGTCAAGATGGCTTTCTTTCTTCTATCATGCTTTACCACTATTTTGGCTGAGGATGTGGGTTGACTGTGCACATTGACCTATTCACAGTTTCCAGTCTTTCTCTCCCTTACACGCCAGGGTTCTGACCGTATCCCTTCAGCCTTAAACTTGCCTGGGCTCTCAGTTGTTTGAGCTTTTAGGGTGAGACAGGGGACTAGTACTACCTGGCCTTCACTCTTTCTTTCCCTGTCCTCCTTCTTCCCCCCTGGATGCAGGCTCCAGATCGGGAAAGGGTTGTCAAAAGAGCGATAAAGGTTTTTCCCTTCTGGTCCTGTTTAAATGAAAACAGGTGTGTCATGGGAAACTCTTTCTCCATTGAAAGAGGGCTGACCTACCTGGCCTGGTCTGCAGGTTGCTTTCTGGGCTTGCTTGTTCATGGTCCCAGCGTCCAGGAACCCAGACCCTTTGAACTGCTGTTCAGGCAGTTGCTCTCCCCAATTCCCCAGTGTGTTGTTTCTTCTCAACTCTGCACCGCGTCGCAGAAAGTAAAAGTGGGTAAATATAGCTTAGCTTCCACTTTTCAGAGATGGTTACCCTTATGTTTCTTTTCATTCTACAGTAACCCCTCCCCCAACTTTCTGAATACGGTTATATTCTAGAGAAAAATATTAACTAGCCAAATTAGTTGGCAATTACAAAGGACATGGATGTGTCATCCCTGTGAAAGAGCCCTGTGGAAAGGAACGTTGAAAGACAAATAGAAAACCAGATCCCGTAGGTTGGTACTTGCAATTTTGAGATTTGGGATGGTTTCCATCTCATAAAATAGAATGAGACCTCCCAGTGGACTGGTGGCCGAGCAGTGGCTTTGTAGAACGGGGACAGGGAAAGCCACAGGGCTTCCTCAGGCAGCCTTCCCGATCTGGGTGTGATGGCAGTGCTGGGTTTGTGCTTAGTAAGTGGGAGGTTGGCTCTTTCATGCCTGGGTGGAGATTGCCGTGTAATTCCATGAGAGTGAAGTTTTAAAATTTCAGGCAACCTGTGGCAGGGAGGATGTTCTGTGCAGTCCCTCTGTACAGAAGTAAAGGTTTGGTGAAATCATGTTTCTCTGTCTGTGGAGCCTACTGTATTTTCAATCCTGTTCTGTTTGTTTGTAATTGATTTATTTATACCCCATTTGTGTATTGCTGCAGTTTGTAGACGTGTATTCTATTTATGTGTTGTTTGAGCTTTTTGAACACTTTATAATCAGGTCTTACTGTAATTATAAATCAGACCATGTCTTTATGTATTTTGAAGCAATATATTTAAAATTTAAATAGATTGCCAGGCAGTGGGGGCACTTGTCTTTAACCCCAGCACTTGGGAGGCAGAGGCAGGCAGATCTCTAAGGTCAAGGTCAGCCTGGTCTACAGTCAGGGCTACACAGAGAAACTTGTCTTCAAAAGCAAATCAATCAATCAATAAAAATTGATTGAGGACTTTCATGACAAATTATCCTCATCATTTGGCAATGACGTCTCTGTTCTAATTTACTGGCTCTTGGTATAAAGTTTCAACTTTTCTCGTTTCTCATCTCTAATAAATATTTTATTGGCATTTGCCTGGGATAGTTTTTTTTTTTTTTTTTTTTTTTTTTTTTTTTTTTTTTTTTTTTTTTGGCTTTTTTCAGTTTCTGATTTCCTATGATTATGTTTTAGGTTATTTCTATGAACCAGAATATAGCTATATTTTTGAAATGACATTTGAAAAGTGCTATTGAACCAATGAATTTAATCCATTTATGTCATTGTGGCTATTAATAGATGTGTCAATTTAGTTCAGTCATATTTTATGATCTTTGTTTTCCATGCATTTTGAATTTTTCTTTTTTTAAATGTTGCCTTTTCTTTGAATTTTTATTTTTTAAAGTCAAATTTTTAAATGTTTATTTAATTGCAGGTGGGCAGGGTGCCATGGTGCCATGGTGCACACATGGAAGTCAGAGGGCAACTTGCGAGCGCTGGTTCTAGTCTTCTATACGTGGGTCTCGAGGATGAAACTTGGG